TCTGAGAGTTTTCCAGTGTGCCAGAGCCAGCATTCCACCACGCAGGGCTGCAGGAGCCCCCGGCCAGGTACTCACGGTAGGGGCAGCCATAGAGGCCCAGGCGCAGTCCAATCTTCCCACGTGGGTTCCAGGCCACAGGAATGATGCGAATGTATCGTGCAAGGATGGGGTAATGCAGGTCATGCCGCACCACCCCACTCTCATTCACGTTCCCAAAGAATGTCTGAGGATGAAGGGTCACTGTCAACACCTTATTCCAAGTCAGGGGTCTCTACCCACCTCAGAGAGCCCCCTCCAACAGGGAACCCTGGGCTCCCCCGTACCCAGTTGCTGCCCTGCTGGAAGAAGGGTTTCCAGCTCGTAGGGTGGTCTCCATAGAGCACAATGTAGCGTGTGAGCCAGTCATAGGTATTGAAGGTTCCCTGCGTGGCCACTGCGTTGATCCGGTGCTTTTTCATCAGGTCGATCTGGAGCCAGGGCTGCTTGTCCGCAGGGTCGGGGGACCAGCCGCTGGTGCCTGCGGGGGGAGCAGCTCAGCGGCTCGGCTCTCGACGGAGCGGCGGCTGCTTGCTCGGCCCCACCACAGCACCTGACTGGACCCCTCAGCCCCGCGAGAGGCAAAACCCGGCCAGGGACACCCCCTGCCCACCTCCCCTGCCCCACCTGCATCCCAGTCCAGCGGGGGGACTCACTGTGCAGACGGGCGAAGCTGGCCGAGTAGAAGATGCTGTATCTGGAGGAGGCACCGATGGAGTAGGAGTAAAGGGGAGCAACGAGCTCATCATAGCAGGGTCCTGAGGGGAGAATGGAGTTGGGGGCGGCCTCGGAGCACTGAGCTGGGCAGTGCCCCTGTGGGAGCTCCCCAGCCCTGCGGACCCTGAGGGCTCTGGGGACCCGCGGCTCCCGCGGGCCGGCGGAGCGGCGGGCCCGCTTTGCTCTCCCCTCCCACTGCAGCGGAGCTGACACACCTCTGCGGGCCCCGGCGCCGGCACCAGCCGCCTCTGCACTGACGTGGGCGACGGGACCCCCGCTCTGCCCCGCCCCGGGGGGAACGATCCCGAGTGGGATCCCGGGGGATCCCGTGCAAACCCACGCGGCACTGGCAAAAGACCCTTCGGAGGGGCCGGGGTCCCGAACCGCTTTCGGGGTCTCCTAAGAGGTCAGAGAGAGCCTGGGGCGCTCAGGAGCATCCCAAGCTCTCACTGTAGGAAGCGTGCTGCATCAACCCCCAGTCCACCGCCCGCCGACATCCCCTGTACCATGACCCCCGCCTCGATTGCCCGGCCCCGAGGAAGGGACTCCGGGCGCCGGCTCAAGGGGCCACGGGGAGCTGCCTGTGCGACCAGAGCCTCGCCGATTTCCGTTCCCGAGCGGCTGCCCCCAGCCCCGGTATGGGGTCGGGCCCAGCGCAGCCCCGCGGCGGGGCCAGCCCGGCGGGCGGCGGCGCTGGCCGAGGTGCTGGCGGAGCCCGGCAAGTCCCGCGGGGCGGCCCCGCTCTCCTCGGCATCCCGGGGCATCCCGGGGCATCCCCGCATCCTCGGGGCGTTCCGGTTGTCCCGGGTCCCCAGAGGCTGCGGCCAGGCGCGGGGCCGCTGCCGGCGGGGGGGCTGCGGCGGGGCCGCCCCGGGCGGGGCGCGGTCGGCGGGAGAGCCCGGGCTCCCGTGTCCGGCGGTGACCTTGGGAACGATGCGAACAGGGGCAGCGGAGGATACCGAGGGATGCCGGGGTTGCCCGGGGAAGAAGAAGGGGGGACGCCCGAGAGAACGGAGGATGCGGGGACTGCTCGGGGATGCGGGGACGGGGCGGCGGGCGCGGTCCCGCAGTGCGGAGCGGCCGCTTCCGGGACTGCGGCCCCACTTACGTGCGAGGCAGCCGGGACCGGGGCGCAGGAAGCCGGCACAGGCGGCGAGCAGGAGCCCGAGGAGGCGGCGGGCGCCCATGCTGCGCGCCCCGAGCGCCCTCGGCGCCGCCGCTCCCGGTGCTGCAGCCGCGCGGCGGAGCGGGGCCGGCGGCTCCGCCCACGGGGCGGGGGGGAAGCCGGGCCGGACCGGGAGCGGCGCAGAGTCCCGGCCACCCCCGCCCCCGGGAGATGCTCCGCCCGGGAGCTCGATTTCCCCGCTCCTCGGCACGGCGAGCCGCGGCGGGCTGCACCGGGACGCGGCTCCTGTGGGTGCGGGTACGGAGCTCCCCGGGCGGCCCCGGTCGCTTCCTCGGCGGTGCCTGGTGCTCGCCGCTCCCCGAGCCTCCCCTGCCCCTGCAGCCCCGCGCAGGGGGGGTCGGAGCGCTGCCCGCAGCAGATGTGGCGTGGCGGCGGTTTGTAATCAAGCCGTGGATTAAAGCCTGCAGGTCTCGGGGTCGCTGCTCTCTCCAGCGGTGCAGGAGAAGGGATTTAGTTTGTATCTGCTCTCAACCACCCCCAGACGCCCACAGAGGGGTTGGGGGGGCTGGTGCCCGCGTGTCCTACATACACCTACAGACCCGCGGTGCTCCGTGTCCCCTGGCCCCGCAGGAGCAGACCTGCTGTCCCAGCGGCCTCCAGCAGTCCCGGAGACAGAGATGCCCCAGGAGCTGCTGGCTCCAAGCAGGAGCAGGGCCAGGCTGTGCCCAGGGGCAGCATGTGCCAGGCCTGGCTGCCGCGGGCAGAGCAGCACCGTCAGCCGGGGCAGCCGGTGCCAAGGCTCCTCCCTGCCCGGGCAGAGCCCAGGCCGGGCTGGGGAGTGAGAGAGAATAGAAAGCCCCAGGTGTGGCAGGGATGTGGGACACCTGGCAGTACACCAGGAGCTGGAACTGTATGCTGGGAACACTGGCAGCCTCCCTCCTGTCCCCCAGACCCTGGCAGTGCCTGCAGATCCATCCCCAGGACAGGCACAGCCCACCTGGCCTTATCCTGACACCCCGGGGGGCTGCCTGTTCTGGCCACAGCCCCACGTCCTGACCCTGTGCTGGGTCAGTTCCCTGACAGCCCCAACAGGGACATGGAGAATCCCTGCTCTGCACCCACAGCTGGCTGTAGGGCCAGCACTGATCCCAGGACCCTCCTCCCTCTTCTTCCCCCAAGATGCAGGATGCAGGAAGGCACCCCCAGAAGCAGCACAGGGCAGAGATCTGCAGTTAGCATCCCTGCACTGCAGAAAGAGCAGGAGAGGGGGAAGAGAACCTCCAGCAAAGAGTCCTGGGGACACCCTGGAGGCTGGGGGCACCTGTCCTGGCTGCTCTTCATCGAGGGTGCAGCAGCTCCACAGCCCCACAGCGAGCACCCAGGATCCTGTACCGTCTGGAGGCAGCAGGAGGGCCGAGGGCAGAGTGGAGATAAGCCATGGCAAAGACAGCTGCAGCTGGGAGAAAGGGGGATTGAGGGATTATGGCCAGGAGCCCATTAAAGCTGGGGATCAATTTTCTCCCTCCTGAGGAGAGGAAATGGGGCCTCTGCCCCACAGGAACTAATCTGCTTTTTTAATGAGGAGCTGGGAATTTTGTTGTCAACAACCAGCAACACGCCTGCCCAGCACTGTGGGGATGCAGTACCAGGTTGGGACCCCTGGGTTCATGGTATGCCCTGCACCAACAGCCACCCCAGCTTCTGGAACCACCATGTTTGCCATGAGGAGAAGACAACCCTAGACCAGACAAGGCTCTGCCAATCCTGTTGGAGGAGCACCCTGCCTGTGCCCAGCTCAGTGCCAGCCCACAGCTGCCCCCACTCCATTCATTGGCCCCATTCCTTCTGGTCCTGCAGAAGCCAACAACAGCCCTGGGGTAGGCTGGAGTTTCCTGCAGGTGCTGGATGCCCTCATCCAGACCCTGCTCCCCTGGCTGGGTGTCCTGGGTTTGGGCTGCACACCCACATGACAGAGACTGAGCAGAGCTGCTATTTCTGTCCCCAGCATGCACAAGTAAAAGATGCACCAAATAAAAAATTCATTTCCAGCTCCAATGTGGTGTCACACCTGCCACCTTCGTCCCCAGGGCTGGGTCTGCTCTGCACGGTTCTCGGTATCAGGAACAGCACGTGGTCAAACCACAGGACACAGAGCCTGAGACACCAACAGCTTCAGACCCACCGGCCAGGGGAAAGGATCTGCTGTGCAATGACAGAGCAGGTGAGGGGGCTGCAGGGCGAGGGGTTTGATGGGAGCCAGGCAGGACCCCCCCATCACTGGCTTTTCTTAGTGTTTAAGTAGTTCTCTTGTGAGTCCTGTGGGTTTAGACTGGGGAATCAGGGCAGTGCTTGGTGCTCCAGGCCCCTGGGGCCCTGGGCAGGAAAGGGGCTAGAGGAGCTGCTGGAGAGTCAGCCTGCTCTGGCACTGGGTTCTGATCCCACCTGCGGCCCCAGAGCAGTTGAGGGGCCCAAGCCCAGCTGCCTGGGTTCACTGACAGGGGCCAGAGTGAAATTGCTGTTATGAGGCTACTGCGAGTCAGAGAGTGTCAGATCTGCAGATCAGTGGGGTCCCAACTGAGCAGTGCCAGGCTGCAGCACTGTCCCACTGCCCCAGAGCAGGGCTGAGCAGCTGGGGGGTGGGAGCACTGTGCTCAGCTGCCTGCAAGCTGGGAGCTCCCCATCTGGGAGCAGGACTGGGCAGTGCCTACACTGGGATCCCCAGGGTGGTGCGTGGGGGCTTTGGGCACCTGAGGATGCTGGTGTGGATCCCCAAGACTCAACTGCCCAGGGCTGGGGCCGTAGGCTGGGTGCTGAGCCCTGGAGCAGATCCCGGGTACGTGCAGGGTTAGTTTGTGGGACACGGTGCTGTGCTAGGGACACCGTGGCTGGGCTCATGTCCCTCCACCAGCTCTGCATTGCAGATGGCTGCTCAGGAAGTATGTGGTTGCTCTTGCAACTGAGCACATCAAAACTCCTGCTGCTGCGGGGTGGGTGTGAGACAAAAACAAACCCCACATGTAGGGCCAGGGACCAGGGGCCACGACACATCCAGGCTGGGTGGAGAAGGGCTTCCCTGGGTGTGGTTTCACCTCGTGGCCGGGCCACCCCTGCCGAGCCCTCCTCACTCAGCCTCCCTCTGCACAGGTGACTCCCAGCCCCGTCTCAACAGAGCTGATGGCCACCACTGAGTTCTTCCCTTGGGAGGACGAGTACTCGGGCGAGGTCAGCATGTTGCCTGAGCTCTGTGAGAAGCAGGGAGTACAGGGCTTTGCCCGCACCTTCCAGCCTGCCGTGTACCTGCTGTTCTTGCTGCTGGGCATAGTGGGGAACGGGCTGGTGCTGCTCACACACACCCGCTACCGCCAGGCACACAGCATCACCGATGTCTGCCTCCTGCACCTCGCTCTGTCCGACCTCCTGCTGCTCCTGACGCTGCCCTTCGCCATCACTGACGCGCTGCTGGGCTGGTCCCCAGGCACAGCCGCCTGCAAGGTGCTGCAAGGTCTCCATGCCCTCAACTTCTACAGCGGCTTCCTGCTCCTCACGGGCATCAGCGCGGATCGCTATGTGGCCATCGTGCGGGCGCCGGCTGCTTACCGCCTGCGCCCACGAGCTCGCCGCCTGGGCTGGCTGGCGGCGGGGCTGGCCTGGCTGCTGGCCACGCTGCTAGCCCTGCCCCAATTCATCTACAGCCAGGCAGAGCAGCACCAGGATCTCCGGCTCTGCCGTGTCGTTTTCCCCCGTGTGGTCTCCCGGGCAGCCCGGGGAGCCACCAACCTGCTGCAGGTGGTGCTCAGCTTCGCGGTGCCCTTGCTGGTGATGGCGAGCTGCTACGCGGCTGTGGCACGGACACTGCTGGCGGCCCGCGGTGCCCAGCCCCAGCGGGCGCTGCGGGTGCTGCTGGCCCTCGTGCTCGTGTTTGTGGCCCTGCAGCTGCCCCACAGCCTGATGGTGCTGCTGGACGCGGCCGAGCTGCTGGCCAGCTGGGAGATGAGCTGCGCCCAGAGCCGCCGCAAGGACCTGGCGCTGCTGGTCACCGGCGGGCTGGCGTACCTGCGCTGCTGCCTCAACCCGCTGCTCTACGCCTTCCTCGGCCAGCGCTTCCGCCAGGAGCTGTGGCTGCTCGCCAGCGACGCCGGCTGCGTGGACTCCCTCGACCCGCGCTGCTCCGGATTCTCCAGGCCCCGCCGGCGGACATCGGTCTCCAGCTCCTCGGCCGTGGTGTAGGAGCACAGTGCCCGCGGCCGGGGCACGGACCGGCGCCGCGGGGTTCGGTCCCTCCGCGGTTCCCCGGGGACAGCCCCGTCCGTGCGCAGACCTGCCCCAGCGAGCAGCGGGACGCGGGCAGCGCCCGGCAATCCGCACGGTGCCTGCACACGCCCGAGCAGAGCGGAGAGCAGCCCCGCAGCGCCTGCGTGCCCTGCGAGTGCCTCCACTGCCCGGTCCCCGCAATGCCACGCGCGATTCAGGGCAGCCCTGCAATGTCACCGCGTCGCGGGCCGGGCAATGTTCCTTCCGCGTGTTCCGGGGGTCCGGGCGGTGCCGGTGAGCCGGTTCGGCGGGTGCAACACTGGGGACAGGCAGGCAGCTGGTTCCCTCTCTCGCAATAAACACCGAACGAGTCCCGCTGGGAGAACGCAGTCTCCGTGCGGGGCGACGCCGCCCCGGGAGGTTTTGTGGGGCCGGGGCGGCTCCGTGGCCACCGGCACCGGCGGGCGATGCCTGCAGGAGGCAGCAGAAGCTCGCGCTTCCTGGTCGCCCTCCGCTCGTCCCCGGCGCTGGAGGGACAGGGCCCCGGAGAGGGGACAGCAGAGACCCCCCCCGGAAAAACCCTCCTTGGGTCCTGCACCCCAGGGCGGGGGCAGAGACACGTTTGTCTCCCCTCCTTACTCCCCCCACGAGCTGCTCTGCCACGGCACATCCCGGCCCAGAGGCTCTGCAGCACCAGGGGGCTGTGCTGGGGCTGGCCCGGCCCAGACACGTGGCGACCAACACACGACCACGGGCTAGGACATGGCGAGCACCACATGTCCCACGGGCTGGCACACGGGGACATGGGCCTGCAGCGCCGGGACAGTGCAGTGTCACACTCACCAGGCCTGGCTAAAGAAGCACTCCACGGTGCCAGGAGCAGGACCGGGCTTGGCTGTGGTGCAGCTGCTCATGGAGTCTCCCAGCAGAGCTGGGCATGCAGAGAAGCACCTCCTGGTCCTGCTGGGGCTGGAGGCTACTTCCTGTTCACCCCCTGTTCTGCCTGGGATTAGCCCAGGGCTCAAGTGCAAGAAGCTATTCCAGAAGCTTCACCTACACCTGGGCCAGAAACAGGTTACTGCTGACTCAGCAGCCACAGAGGCAGGGTGATGGGCCTCTGTCCCCCACAACCCTCGGTGGGGGATCAAGAGCCAGATTCGGGCAGTTCTTGGCCAGGCAGAACAGCTGCCCCTGCTGCCCACCCAGCCTGTGGTCTCGGGTGGTCCCGTTCCAGTTCTCTGATGCCCCCACAGCTGGTGGGCTCTGCTCAATGCCTGTGCCTGGCCTGGCTGCACAGCCGGGCCCACACCAGAGGCTCAGCCCCAGGCACAATCCAGAGCAGGCTGCGTGGGAGGGGAACTGGCAGCTGGAGCTTCCTGCCGGCGCATCCCAGCACCCAGGCTCCCAGGGACGGCGGTGACCCAGCAGCTGTAGCGAAGACAGAGCTTTAACTCCTGGTGCTTCGGGAGTGGGGCCAGGGCCTGGACGCTGCCATAGCACCCATGGCTTGAGGCTACCCCAGACCCCCTGCCACTGGGCAGAGCTCACGGATGAGCTGAGCCACACAGTTGTGGCACTGGCTGGGAGCCCACCATGAACAACTTCCACCATCTCCTTTGTGGAAAGTCGCTATGAGGGCCTGCAGGACAGGCGTGTCTGGGCATGGTGTCCCCCTGCCCACGGTGTCCCCCTGCCCACGGTGTCCTCCTGCCC